AGCTGGCCCAGGACTGCGAGGCGCTGGCCGTCGCCGCGAGCGAGGGCGTGGCGTGGCTGCGCAACGCGGCGGAGCAATCGCCGACCGTGGCGCAGCAGGCGCCGTCGCTGGTCGGCGAGCTTCAGAAGGTTCGCAACCAGAGCCGCAAGCTCGCGCGCGCCGCGCGGCGGCGCATGTGCGTGGGCGTGTTCGGTCCCAGCCAGGCCGGCAAGTCCTATCTCGTCTCGATCCTGGCGAGCCGCGACGGGCGTCCGCTGCAGGCGCGCTTCGCCGACAAGACCTACGATTTCCTGCGCGAGATCAACCCGCCGGGCAATCGCGAATCGACCGGCCTCGTCACCCGCTTCGGCCTCGGCCTCGGCCTCAGCGACGGCTCGGCCGAATTCCCGGTGCGCGTGCGTCTGCTGACCCAGACCGACATCGTCAAGATCCTGGGCAATTCGTTCCTGCTCGACTTCGACCACCAGAAGGCCGAGTTCGTCGGCCCCGATGGCGCCGCGATCCGCAAGCGCCTGACCGAGCTGCGCGCCAAGGCGCATCCCGCGCCGGTCGGCGACCTCGAGTCCGACGACGTGCTCGACCTGATCGAGTATTTCGACACTTTCTTTGCCGGCGTCACCGCCGAGCTGCGCACCGACTACTGGCGCGAGGCCATCGATCTCGCGCCGCGCCTGTCGGGCGCCGACCGCGGCCCGCCTGTGGTCGGTCCTGTGGTACGACTTCCAGCCCTTCACCGATCTCTACCTCACGCTCTACGACGGGCTGCAGAAGCTCGGTCACGCGCCCGAGGCGCTGCTGGGCATGGACGCGCTGATCCCGCGCGAGAAGAGCATCGTCGACGTGCTGACGCTCGACCGCCTCGGCGCCGACGGCGACGATCCTCTGCTGATCCGCCCCAAGCAGGCCGACGGCCGCCATTCTCCCGACGCCCGCTTGCCGCGCTCGCTGGTCTGCGCGCTCACCGCCGAGCTCAACGTCGCGATCGACGAGAAGCCCTGGGACTTCTTCGATCACACCGACCTGCTCGACTTCCCCGGCGCCCGCTCGCGCCTCAAGCTCGCCAACCTCGACGACGTCGCCAAGACCAAGGGCGTCGCCGAGGGCGCCAACCCGCTGCGCGAGCTGCTGCTGCGCGGCAAGGTGGCCTATCTGTTCCAGCGCTACTCGGCCGAGCGCGAGCTGAGCGCCATTCTTCTCTGCATTCCCGACGGCAACCAGGAAGTCCGCGATCTCTCCGACATGATGACGGCGTGGATCGACCAGACGATCGGCGCCACCCCGGCCGACCGCGCCAAGCAGAAGAACGCGCTGTTCCTCGTGCTCACCAAGATGGATCGCGAGTTCGAGCAGAAGGCCGGCGAGACCGAGGAATCGCGGCGCCTGCGCTGGAGCGCGCGCCTCGGCAACTCGCTGGTCAACAATTTCCGCGGCGAGTGGCCGCTGAACTGGAACGGCAAGCCGTTCGACAACAGTTTCTGGCTGCGCAATCCGACCGTCATCGACGAGCGGCTGATGGAGTACGACGGTGGCCGCGAGGCCGGCATTGCCGAAAGCTTCGCCCAGCGCGCCGGCGAGCTGCGCCGCCACTTCGTCGAGAACGAGGATGTGCGCCGCCACTTCGCCAATCCGGCGCTGGCCTGGGACGAAGCCTTCCGCGCCAACGACGGCGGCGTGGCGCATCTGGTGCAAAGCCTGATCCCGGTCTGCGATCCCGCCATCAAGCGGGCGCAGGTGCGCGGCCAGCTCGACGTGCAGCTCCGCCGCCTGGTCGACCGGCTGGCCGGCTTCCACAGCGCCTCGGATGGCGATGCCCGCACCAAGAAGCGCGACCTCGTACACACGGTGCTGCGCGGCCTGACCAACGTCATCCAGCAGCAGCTGTTCGGCGAACTGGTGGCCTCGCTGCAGGTCGCCGACACGGCCCTGCGCGAGATCTACTTCCGCATCGCCACGGCCCAGCCCTCCGACGACGGCGTGAGCAAGAACGGCAAGCTGCAGCCCGCCGCCGCGCAATCGACCGGCGCCGCCGTCGACATCGGCGCGATCTTCGCCGACGTGTTCGGCGAGGAGACCGGCCGCACCCCGCCGCCGTCCGGCGTGATCGAGGACCGGGCGGAACGCTTCGCCCGCGAGGCCTCCGGAATACTGGCTGGAGAACATGCGCCGCGTCGGCGCCGACGAGAAGGCGCTGTCGCATTTCGGCGTCGACCGCCAGCATCTCGGCTGGCTGATCGACGAGCTGATCGTGGGCGCCCATCGACTGAAGCTGATCGACCAGCTCTCCCACGAAGTGCGCGAGCTCGAGAACGCGGCCAACGCCAAGTGGGAGGAGATCGCCGAGCGCCAGGTGCGCACGGCCTCCTCGGCGCTGAACGGCTATGTGAGCGCGCTGGGCTTCGACAAGCTGCCGCTCGACCAGCGCCCGGGCCTGCCGCCGAACGCGCCGCTGCGCCGCGTGTTCGAGCAGCCCACGATCATGATCGACGGCATCCCGCAGCTCAGCGAGAACCCGGCGCCGATCTACGCCGATTATTGCAAGGACTGGATGCGCGCTTTCCTGCAGCTCGCGATGGACAATGTCGGCTACGAAGGCGGCCGCGAGATCACGCCCGAGCAGAACGACCGGCTGGGCGCCATCCTGCGTACCGTGGCTGCCTGAGGATTCCGATGCCCGTCCGCGCGACCATTGCCCCGCTGCCGGAACCCGGCCATGCGCTGTTGCGTGTGAGCGAACTCGACGCCGCGCCTGAAGGCCTCACGATCTCGATCCAGCGCCAGCAGGGACCCGACACCCATCTGGCCGACGACGGCTGGCGCCG